AATGGGGATTTCAATGCGCCATCATATTTGCTATAATGATAGGATGTGGTTTTGGTCTGTGGCATGTGTTGTTAGGAATTACGACTCCCCATAATTGTATGATATTGTCCACTTTGATCATAAGCTCTCGTTACTTTGCTTTGGGCTTTCCCAAGAGGTCTCGTACTAATGGAGATGTATTCCTTGTTTGTAAACTCATGATCATTCCCTAAATATTCCTTAAATTAGCCAACGTGGGACTCCCTCCCCAACCATCTTCAACAATCCTCCCCTCGAACAAAGTACACTATAGAGCCTCCCCAGAGGCCTATAGAGCCCTCGAACAACCTCTCCTTAATCGAGGCTCGACTACTTCTCTAGAGTCCTCGAACAAAGTACTCCATTTGTTCGACATTTTGGGTCACTTTGGGCTACACCTTCAAGGCTCACTTGTGAGGTTCTGTTGACATGACTAAGTTAAGGGCATGACTCTAATACCATGTTAGGAATCACGACCTCCACAATGGTATGATATTGTCCACTTTTAGCATAAATTCTCACGGTTTTGCTTTTGATTTTCCCAAAAGACCTCATACTCAAGTAGAAACATCAATTTCTGAAAATTTTCTATGGAATGATCGATTGAGTATGAGAAGTGCTCAATTGCTGCTGTGTTATATTGTTTGTAATTCTTAAATGCTATCTTCATTTATTATCATGATCAGGAACTTCATTAGCAATAAAATACAATGGTTAGCGATCATGATCAAGTTTTGGAATGACCAAGCAGATCCTTATATATAATGATTTTTGTACTCACGTTTTCACTTTTAAAATTGTGAAAGGGATCTGAGACCTTAAGGGACAGCAAAAGGCTTGAGGAATGGAGTTCATTGACAGCAAAGTTCTCTGCAGCAGCAAATATCCCTTTTATGTTGCTACAATTGCCTCAGATTATCCTTAACGCCCGAAACCTTTTATCTGGAAACGAAACCGCGCTTTTGGCAGTTCCATGGCTGGTAAAAACTACTTCCATTCATAATTCAAGCTGTTTATAGAGAATGGACATTGACAATAATGTTTCGTGTCATGCGCGTTAATGTTTCGTGTTTCAAAGATAATTTGTGTGTTCTTCTTTCACTTTCTTATACATGTAGGGGATGTTAACTGGTTTGCTTGGGAACCTTGCATTGTTGTCATACTTTGCGAAGAAGAGGGAGAAGGAGGCCATGTTAATTCAAACATTAGGAGTAGTTACAACATATATAGTTTTTGCTCAGCTTGCAATAGCAGGGGCCATGCCCTTGCCTTACTTTGCAGCCACGTCGGCGGTCGTGGCTTCTGGTCTTGTTATAAACTTCATGAGTTTCTTTAATGTTCTTCCTGTTCTAATCTTGAAATTTTGGGAAGATTTCATCACTGTTGGTGGATTTTCTGTCCTCCCCCAGGTAATGTCTTTTCTAGCTTAGCTTCGTTCATAAAACGATAACGTTTAATATTAAGAATTGTCTCGAAGAGATGAAGTTTTGGGTTTGCTTAATTTTCGTGCAGGTTATGTGGTCTACTTTTGTTCCGTTCATACCGAATAGTATCTTGCCTGGAATCATTGCTTTGGTTGCTGCACTTCTTGCGGTTGCTTTGGTAGACTTTTTCTTGCCTATATTTTCCTTTGAGTTCATATGCTAATTCATTCAATGAAATATGTCTGCACAAAATCTTAGAGGGTTAGTTCATGGTCTCTATACTTCGTTAACAAGTTTGTGCACGTTTATCTTATGTGATTAGACAAGCGTTTATCTTAAGATCGCTTACCCTTCCTATTTATAACCAAGTCCCCTGACTAATTGCACACACTGGCTTCACCAATGTTGTAATAGCTCAAGCTCACCGCTAGCAGATATTGTCTTCTTTGGACTTTCCCTCAAGTTTTTTAAAATGCATCTGCTAGGGAGAGGTTTCTACACCCTTATAAAGAATGTTCGTTCCCCTCTCCAACCGATGTGGGATCTCACAATCCATCCCCCTTTGGGGCCCAACGTCCTCGTTGGACTCGTTTCCCTCCCCAATCGATGTGGGATCTCACAATCCACCCCCCCTTCGGGGCTCAGTGTCCTCGCTAGCACACTGCCCAGTGTCCACCCCCTTTCGGGGCCCAGAGTCCTCGTTGGCACATCGCCCAATGTCTGGCTCCGATACCATTTGTAACAGCCCAAACCCACCGCTAGCAAATATTGTCCTCTTTGGGCTATCTCTTTCGGGTTTTCTCCCAAGGTTTTTTAAAACGTGTTTGCCAGAGAGAGGTTTCCACATCCTTATAAAGAATGTTTCGTTCTCCTTTCCAACCGGTGTGGGATCTCACAATTTGATAACATTTATGTTTCTCATTGTGAGATCCCACATCGGTTGCAGAGGGGAACAAAATATTCTTTATAAGGGGTATGGAAACCTCTCCCTAGCAGAAAACCTTGAGAGAAAGTCCGAAAGGGATTGCCCAAAGAAGACAATATTTGCTAGCGGTGAGCTTGAGATGTTACAAATGTTCTACCAATATCCCTAATATATTCCCTTCTAGTACTCTCACATCACACTCCCTATTTTGGCTATATTCTTCTCTTTCTGATGACAACTTTTCTTATGTGTATATGATCATAAAAATGGTATAGTTCGAGTTTGAGATCTGAAACCAAGATTACAATATTTTCTTTTCATGTTGCTGAAATGTTAGACTTGTTCAACATTCCCTTAAAGGTGTTCTTTTAAGATTTACAGGCACGCACTGGAAAACTTCCTGAAAAAGGTGTCAAATTTGTTGGAGCATTATCTGGATGGACAGCAACACTCCTCTTCATGTGGATGCCGGTTTCACAATTGGTATTTTTCCTGTTTGAACTTTTGGTATGATATAAACATATACAAATGTATTAGAGTTAGATGGTTGGCTCGTGAGAATAGTCGAGATATATGATAGTTAGCTTGAACACTTACGGATATTACCTCTCACCACCATATGTTGTCTGTTCAGTGGACTAATTATCTGAATCCTGAGAACATCAAAGGCTTATCAGCTCTTACAATGCTTCTTGCCCTGATTGGAAATGGTCTTACGCTCCCACGTGCTCTATTCATTCGAGACTTCATGTGGTAACGTTATTTCCCCACAATCAAACCTTTCACGTCTGTTTTCTAGTCGTTATTTTGTTTTCAATCGACTTGTTTAGGGTCTGGCTTTATAATTGAACCACACAAATATTTGTTAAAACATAATCTTCATTTTTAGTACAGATGTGTTGTTCTCATTGTAAAACTGTGTCAATGTCACCTGTCAATAAGAGAAAGAAACCAAAGAACAACTACGTCTTGCATATTATGAAAACAGGTCTAACCAACACATAATCCGTGTGATGTTTTGGCCCTCGGGTTGTTAATGTGAGATCCTGTATTGGTTGGAGAGGGGAACGAAATATACTTTATTAGAGACCCTAACAGACGCGTTTTAAAATCTTGCGGGGAAGCCCGGAAGGGAAAGTCCAAAGAGAACAATATCTGCTGAGAGCCAGACACTAGGTAGTGTGCCAGCGAGCATGTTGGGCCCTAAGGGGGTGGATTGTGAGATCTCACATTGGTTATTGGTTGGAGAGGAGAATGAAATATACTTTATAAGCAAAACCTCTCCCTAATAGACGCATTTTAAAACCTTGAGGGGAAGCCCAGAAGGGAAAGTCAAAATAGGACAATATCTCGTGAGAGCCAGACACTGGGGAGTGGGCCAGCGAGGATGCTAGGCCCCAAGGGGTGGTTTGTGGGATCCCACGTTGGTTGGAGAGGGGAACGAAAGGGAAACCTCTCCCTAACATAAGCGTTTTAAAACCTTGAGTGGAAGTCTGGAAAGGAAAGTCCATAGAAGACAATATCTGCTAGCGGTGGGCTTGAGCTATTACAGTTACCCACGACGGCACCAGTCTTGATTAGCTTATCTATATTAGTTGGTTCAAACTGAAATTGCAGGTTCTTGGGTTCGAGTTGGGCTGTTTTGTTTTACGGATACGCCAACATTGTATGCTTGTACTGGTAAGCTGCTCATCATTTTGTTGTTACATCTGCATTTGTGTGGCCTTAGTATGAGTTAATTGTATGTCTTTATTGATCCCACAGCTGCAGCGGCGTGAGCAGGGAGTTCTTCATTGCTGCAACTGCTGGTCTTTTCTCTTGGATAGGTTCTTCTTCCATTCATTTCTGGCTGCCATATTCTTCTCCTTTTTCACAAACTGCCACTGAGATAGCTGTTTATATTATTTGTTTGTTTGATAATGTTCTCGTTTCTCGTTTCTGCATGATTTAGAAACAACACTTGTAGTGGTTTCTTTCTTATTGTTTTTTTTTTTTTTTTGGTAGGTTTTTTCATCTGGAGAGACTCTGAGGCATATGGATTCCAATCACCATTAATGTCTATTAAGGAGCTACTTTTTGGATCATGACTGCCTTGTTCGAGCTTGAAGAGAGCGAGCGAGATTTTAAGGTTCGAGACAAATGCAATTTAAAATCAAATCTGAACTCAAGGGCTTTGTTTGATGGCTGCAAACCGTGGTTTGAATATAGCTCAAGCAAGAACAGTGTTGTGAAGAGGGAAAAAAGTAAGCTCCGTAGGCTATGGAGAGAGCCAAGTTATTTTTTTTTTGTACATATTATGCTTTGAAAAAATATGCATAGCTTTCTTGTATATTATGACTGAAATATGTTGAGCTAATAAAATCATTCTTTATTGTCATGGTGTACGGGCGAGTGATTTTAGCGAAAATGATTTGTTTATAAGCGATTGGTAAATCGTTCTAGTAAATTTCGAACGTCATGCTATTCCTTTATTCCTTCCTAACATATCTAAAATCATGAACTAGTTCAATTGTAATCCTGTAAAAGAAACTTAAAAAAACAATGTATATTACACAACTATTATAAATCGGCTAAATGATATTAGAACGGCTAAATGATATTAGGACACGAAAAAGAATTGGAATCAAATGATATTAGGACACGAAAAAGAATTGGAATCTTAGGAGAACGTACACATATCCTATGATAGCCAAATCTTCCTAAACTATTAAAATCCTACAAGTTTCCTTACCATACATATAACAGCCTAAGCCCACCACTAATAGATATGGTCTGTTTTGGCCCGTTACGTATTACCGTCAACTTCACGGTTTTAAAAAGCGTCTGCTAGAGAGAGATTTCCACATTCGTACAAGGAACACTTCGTTCTCTCTCTAACCGACCGATGTGAGATCTCACAAATGTTGAACCAATTTGTCAGAAGATGGGGAGCAAACCAATGTTTGTCGAAAGTACCCAAATATAAGAGAGATTACAAATCCCTTTCCCTTTCGCTTTCTTGTAGCCAACTTGAAAGAGAACTCTAAATTATATCAACATAGACCTCAATTTTTGCCACTTCAACGCAACCACAATTCTGCATCAACATTCAGAAAACTTCAAATATCTGCCTGGAGTTTCACTTTCTGTTTACTATTTATCCATATCCTTCCTTCCATCACCATGACATGCTCTCATTAAGCTTGTACAGTTTCAGAAAATCTGTTATGCCCAGTGAATTCAGACTTTCTCCAACCAACTCGAAGCAAACTGTCCCTGCAAGTCAATAAACAATGATCGATGTCCAGAGATCTCAAAATGTGTGCATGAGAGAGATATGTTAAGTTCGTAACACATGGCATTTAGATATTCAGCTCGACCGGCTGGGTGAGCTAGCATTGGAAATTCTAGAACCCTCTGTGAGCTAATGATTAGCAAATGATGACAACATCATTCTTTCTATTATGCAACTTTAGTTTATTTGGTCACTTGGTAATTTCTGTTATGTTGTCTTATTCTTTAAGTTGTTTCCTTTGTGATGTCTATAAACTCATTCGTTGATCATTCAATAAGAATTATTAGGAAGTTCGGCCGTGAGAGTAAATGGTTCTTAAACCCAAAAGCATTATAATTCCAGACATCCTTTTCCTGAAAATTGACAAGAAAATATCGTTTTTCCTCGGTTCTAAGACATTTTAAGATAACGCTTTCCGGGTGCTCTAAAGATAAGCTCAACAATCAACACAGAGCTTTGTATTAATTTCAACCTTATGCCATCACTAAGATTGAAAAATGCAAACTATGAAAAGGATAAATTAAAAGAGACTTAATGGAGTAACTAAACCTTATGCCGCTAATGTCAACAATAAAAGCATGGACTGCCTGCCCAAGTCTTGGGCAACAAATATATGACAACTGAAAATAACACAACTCTAGAGGGCAGATGCTGGAGAACTGTGCAAAGTTTTGTTTTAGTTGAGATGGAGTCAGGACGAAAAAGGTTAAACTTAGGAAGTCTTACCTTTCAGGTGAATAACATGAGAATCAAAACATAATATTCTTTTCACGGTCTTTCTTTTGAAAAAAAAAAAGATGTAGAAACGTTGAAATTCAGGCTACCAATGATGAGTGTACTCAATGATGTTGAGCATGTAATAGAGAAGCATGAAGAGAAACAAAACTACTCACCTTGAAGCTCCCATGAAATGCTTTGGAAACGCCTTGAATCTCATGCATTGTAAGCAAAGAAGACCATACAAGAAGTATTCTCGCCACTTTTTTGAATGCACAATTCTATTTCACCGTTTTTCATCTTTCCCACTTTCAAACAGTTCCTGTAAAAATGAATGAATAAAAATATACATCCAGCAAACTCCTATGCAACTTTTAAGAAATATTACCATATGAAATTTTTGTGACCAACTACCTTTCAAGAACTTTAACTTTCTGAACCAACATATTAACACGTCCTGAGTATACCAGTAGATTCCCGAGCGCATGCACAACTGTAGCTCTCGTTTATATGTGAAGTTTCAACTTCTTCAACTCACCCCAGTAGGCCCTGGAATTAGAAATGGAGAGATACAATAGAACAAAACCCAAGTTAGTCTCAAGAATGATGACACCTCAAAATGGCATTACCACAGGGGGGAAGGAAAGATATACTCAATAATGATGGGTGATGATCATAGATAATTGAGAGGGTTGCACAAATGAGATGGAGACTTGATGAGTAACATTGCCTGGATGATGATGAAAAGGCAAAAGACATTGAACTTCACCTGGATGTGAATCAAATTATGGGCATTTCTGAGTTATTATTGTAATTATTAATAGTTTTAATATTAATTCATCCAATTAAGACAATGTAACCTTTAACTTTGCTAACAATGCTATAGCACTAAGAGATCATAAGATAAATCTAAGAGTAAAGACAATACTGACTATTTGAAGGAATTTAGCCCCTAAAATAAACATACCTCATTCACGCCTTCTCCTGAATGTGCTCTTCAATAGCATACGAGCATCAGCCTTCTTCCCAGGTGCAGCAAATGTAGAGCCGATGCAAAAAAGAGTACTTTCACAAGGAACAAATCCTCGATCATTCATCTCATTGAGTAATCTTTTTGCCTCAGCCCGGTATGATACTTTCGATGTCCTGTCCAGTTCTGGCATTTTAGACAGTTTGCACCATCCACAAATCAGTATGTCATATGTGGAAGAAGTGGGGGATACACCTTTTCTCTGCATCTCTTTCATTAGCTCCTTGGCTTGGCTCATTTTTCCCATCTTGGAAAAATAACCAATAAGCGTGTTATAGGCGCCCGCTCTTGGAATAAATCCCTTAATTACCATCTCACAGTAGAATCTCAAAGCTTCCTTTGTATTTCCAACCTTGCAATGGCCACACATCAGAGTTTCATAGGTACAAGCATTGGGAACTAAGCCCCGTTTCTTTATCTTGTTGAGTAGGTCATCTGCCTCGCGTATTAACCCAGCTTTAGAAAGACCACCTAGAAGGAGATTGAAAGTTTCAATATTTGGAGAAACTCCTTCAGACAACATAGTAGAAAATGTTATAAAAGCTCTCTTCAGATGGCTGCTAATGCAGTATCCTTGTATCAGGGCATTGTATGTTATTGTGTCAGCTAAAATTCCTCTTTTCTCCATGTCCTTCAGCACTGCAGTTGCCTTCCTAGTCATTCCTAGTTTGCACAAGTTGCTTATGAGAATATTGTAAATATCCTTATTGACTTCAAGGTGCAAATCCACAAGCAACTTATGGACCTGTAAAATAGTGTCAGCTCTTCTACTCTTTGAGGATGCATTGAGTAGAATTCTATAAGTAATTAATGTGGGGTACAAACCCATCACAACCATTTCTTTCACAATATTGATTGCATTTTCTATCCTCCCAGCTTCACAAAGTCCGTTTATCATAAGGTTACATGTGATTGCACTTGGTACCAACTTTCTGCTCTTCATCTCATTCCACAATTGCACGGCAGTTTCCCAGTTCCCCTTCTTAAAATTACCATTTATCATGGTGTTGTATGTTGCTGAGTCGGGAGATAACCCCAAATCCCCCATTACTTTATAAATTGATTCAGTATCACATTTCCCAAGCTTAAACAAACCATTAATTAGGACATTAAAAGCAACAACATCAAACATTACATTCTTGGATATCAATTCCTGAGCCAGGTTAAGAGCAGATGACTCTTTCCCAGACTTCAAGAACCCATCCATCAAATTTGTGTAGTTCACAAGGTCGGGTATTAAACCTCCTGATTCCATTTTTGCAATTAAATCCTCAGCTTCTTCCATCCTTCCACTTCTTTTCAAGTTGTTCACAAAAGCATCCAGTATAAGAACATTATCCTTCAATCCTCTCTGTTTCATTTTGTTGTAAAGATCAAGGGCAATATCTTGCCAACCAGCTTTGAAAGAACCATCAAGTAGAATTGCATAAGTAAATATATTTGGCATCACATTTTTGTGTACCATCTTTCTCAATACATTAAATGCATTCCAAAGCATTCCTTTCTTCACATAACCATTGATCATAGAAGAATATGTGATGACATTAGGAACACAATCTTTCTCCTCCATCTCATGCAGAGAAGATTCAGCACCATTTATGTCTCCTAACTTGCAACGTCCATCGATTAAAACAGAATATGTGATAGAGTTCGGAACTAGATTAAGTTGATATAAGTTGTTGAATATATATTCGGCCTCTTTGATTCCTCCATTCTTACAGAATCCATCAATCAAAACAGTACATGCTATCAGATCAAAGCTATTCCCACGCACAATCATACAACCCAGTGTCATTAATGCTTCTTTAATTTTCCGAGCCTTAAACAATGCGTCGAGAAGGATAGAATATGAGATATCATTAGGATGCATGCCCATCTTTTCCATCTCCCTCAAAAGCAGTTTTCCTTCAGACAACTTCCCGTGCTTACAAAGACCATATAAAATGGAACTATAAGTTACTACATCAGGGAAGATTCCACTTCCAACCATTTCCTCATACAAAGAAAGTGCTTCTTCGAGCCCATTCTGTTAACAGTAGGATCAACATATTACATAAAGTTCTGATAAACAGTAAACATTTCTCCAAGTATAATAATTAAAAGAAGAGTGTTTGATACCTCTCTAACATTGCTTGTTATATTCACGTCAATCGATTGCTCATCCGAAACCTGTCATTGTTATGAAACAACTTTGAGTTAGTTTATAAATCTGGGTTATTTTATGAAAATAATTTTTTAGGGGGAAACTATAACATCAGAAAGAAATACAAATTCAAAGCTTAAGCTTGAGATATTCAAGCATCCACGAACATACAAACGAAACATATTTTTTTCCATAAAAAAGAAAAAGGATTTATGATCTATATCAACGACATGTATATCATAATACCTCAAGTAATTATAAAACTTTTTTTGAGGAATTAATTTTTTACCCTACAATAATCCCAAAACAATACTGGAACTGCACAAGATATCCCTTGTTAAACTTAGTTCACAATTAATCAACATTGGCCAAAATTTGGCAGATTCTTCTCCAGCAACATTCAATTACCATCTGGAATTTGAAAATTATTAAGAACTAGACTACTTTGTTGCAGTAAATCCCCAAATGGATAACATGTGCATCAAACAGCAGAGCAACTAAATGGATAGAAGATCAAAACATGACGAGAATGAATCAAATTTTCCATTCTAGAAAGTAGAAAAGAAACAGAACGCTTGTGAGGCAGCAGAACAGTAAAAACGAAATTGAAATACTTGGAGGGGAAAATTGCAACCGATTCCATAAACTGCTTCTCAATCTTCAACTCGGCAAGAAGGTTCCGTACGTCTCTGGACGAGGAAGTGGAACAGAAGAGTGCGCCTAGAAGAGAGAGATTTGGGTTTCGAGAGGAAGGGGGAAATCCATGGAATATGGCGTCCATAGGGTTCTTGAAGACATGACTGAGGAGAAGACGCGAGAACGGGAATGCTACTGATCTCCTCGCCATTGATATTGCATATGAATTCTTATCTGAACATCGAGAATAAGAAGCTCGAGAATGGGTGGAAGAAGCTGGTTGTTGTTCAGCGATGGACTAAGAACTCTACTGAACGGAAATGGAGGGAGAGAGGGGAGCTTCCCGGCATTGCCGAAACGGAGCTTTTGGTTGAACAGAACTTTTATTCCTAATTAAACTTTGTATTAAATTATAAATTTTATTTCAATTATGCTCCAAAAATTTTTAAAATATTTATCTCCCAAATTAATAAAAACACCTGTCAACTTCAACTTCTTTTCTTTTTTTTTTCTTTTTTTTAATTTCAATAATATTCTCAAAATAATAATAATAAATCTTTAAATTTAAAAAATGTTTCAAAAATACTCATATATAATTTAAAAGGTGTCAATAAATGAGTTTGTCATATATTTATAAATTTTTAAAATGTAATATAAAAATTTTGGAGGATAATCCACGAGGTGTAATAAACAATTTTCGTTTATATATTAATGGTAAAAATATTTTGAATAGTTTTTAAGGGAATTATGTTAATGCTAGTATTTCTTAACTTCCGAAAGAAATGGAAAAGTATTAATGAAACTTTTTAATTAATGTTCGTGGTTTAATCAAAATTAAGATATTTTTTTTTTAATCCAAAACTAAGATATAACAAAGGTGCCTTTAACTTTTATTTAATTAAAAATTTGAAACCATAAACAGCAAGCGTTTGTAGTCCAACGGTTAGGATAATTGCCTTCCAAGCAATAGACCCGGGTTCGACTCCCGGCAAACGCAATCCTTTTTTTTTTATATTGTCTTTTTCTGTTTTCCTTCTTATTTTTTTTCTCAAGGGTTTATTTTCATTGTTGTTGTTCCTTTGAATTAAAATTTTCTTAAATAGAAAAATTTTTATAAACCAAAATTTTCAATTTTCTAAGATTAGTGGTAGAATTTTAACCTTTATTTTATGTCAATTCATCCATTTTTCCAGCTATAATTCAAGTTGTTTCAACCCTGATCGGACTTAATTTCTTCCTTCTGAAGTTTTAGCAATTTTATTAAAAAAAAAACATTTTTTTTTTATTTCTTATGAGTATTTATTTCTTTGTGCAGAAATATCTCACATATGGGTATGTTTCGGAAGTGGGGCATTGAGAGGGTTTGACGTATACTAATAAAATTACATATTTCGAGTAATCAAAGATTTCGTTCATTTCTCATTTTGTGCATAGTGTCAAATAATATGCATATGGGAGTACCTAACTTCCCATGTTCCTCGATAATTCCCGTATAATATAGGTCAAGAAATACCATTAGCACTATATTTATCCAACGAATGACAAAATATTTTTTGTATCTTGCCGTAACTTGTTGTCCAAAAATGTGATGGCATATAACTTAGAGGATGGTGATGAACAAGTCACTAAACCTCAAGGTGTCCATGATAAGAGGAAACAAGCGATGCCCACCGTGAGCCAACCATAGACATGTTTCGTTCCTGTGTTTTTATTGCTTAACAACCTAGTCAATAATTGGTGAAACAATCAATCAAGTTAATGAACGGTCAAATGTGACCATTTAAAATCATTTTTTTTCAAACGAGATAAATACACACATTTCAAACTTTAGAGACCAAACATAGTAAAGTAGTCAATACATTAACCAATATGAGCACAACTCAACTGACATAAAATTTATATCTTCTACAGGGGTCACATATTATTACCCCTCTATTTCCTTTTTCTAATAAACAACCAAAATTGTTTAAAAATCAGTCAAAATTTTAAAAAATAAAACAAACTATGTTTCTAAAAACAACTCCTTCCTCTTCTTCTTCTTTTTTGAAAGATCGACTATGATACGAAAGAAAAGAACGAGAACAAAATCGTTATCAAACGAGATGTAAATATTTGTATTTGAATTCACTGACCATACTAACCAGTCTTCCATTGTTCTACTGCTGCTTTTTGTAGTCTTTTCTTCTATCTTTGGCATTGGCATTGCCTTTGTCTTTGGCTTTGACATCATCAGGGATGCACCATGAACAAGACAATGGCAGAAGAGTGCAGATAGCCTGTATTATAAGACCATGAGGAAGGCCAGAAAAATTACTTGCTGTGACCCCAACATAAGATGCAAGCGCTACACCGAGACATCCGCTCACTATGAATGCGAGGGCAATGGCTGACATTACGAATGCCATGAGAGAGCCCTCGCATCCTGGTGGGCAAAACTGAGGTATCAGAACACTGAATGGCAAGATCTTGAAGAATAACAGAACCTCTGAAAGTCCAGAGAATAAAACAACATATACGAAGTCTGGAACGCCCATATCTCGATAGACTCCTTTCACGAACAACATGTCCGAGATCATAAACACTGCCATTGAAACCTGGATACTTGAAATAAGTTTCCTAGATGGGACCAACTTCAGCTGACGATTGTAGATTACGCCCCACAACAGCAGGGCTGCCTGGCCAAGAACCTTAGAGATACCCAAAACAGATGACTCAATTTTCAAATGCTCTGTTTGATAAAAGAACATGGTGCCAGTCAGTGCAGGGATTATGCTGTAAGATGCAGCAAACCATGTTAAGGAGTACGCAATTTCAGGTTTTTTCAGCACGGTTAAGAGTTCGGAGAGCTGTTTTTTGATACCAGCATTGGTTGAGCTCCGAGGGAGATTGAGAGAGCGTTCATGAACGATGATGGTTAAGAAAAATTGAAGCGAAAGGAGAATGCCAAAGAACAGGAACATTGCTTGAGGCGAGAACCGATCGATAGCAACGCCTCCCAGAAGATTTCCAAGAATCCCACCAGCAGAGGATGCTACCCAAACAAATGCCTGGAGCTCACCTGAGGAGGATTTTCCAGAATTCTTGGAAGAAATGGACTGCTTTCCTGCTTCTGCAACAATGGCGTCGTTAGCAACCTCGGCTATTGAAGCACCGAGGTTGCTGAGGAGAAGATATATGCTAATGGTTAAAACCGAAATACTTGATGGTGACATGATTGCGATGGGTATCCATGACACTGCCTGTAAGAAAGCTGCGTCAACATAAAACATAAGAGGAATAAATAATTTGTGAAAATTGACAACAAAATGCAAGAGCTGGTGAGTAAATTATCCAACATATTAACATATGACATAAAGGGTTTAAATTAATTGATTAATGACTTGGCGTGTTTACTGTTAGGAACCACAAATCTTGACAACAATAGATATTGTCCACTTTGAACATAAGTTTTCATGACTTTACTTTTAGTTTCCCTAAAACACTTCATACGAATGGAGATGTATTCCTTACTAATAAACCCATGATCATCCCCTTAATTAGCCAACGTGGGACTCCCTCCCAAAAATCCTCTCCTCGAATAAAGTACACCATAGAGCCTCTCCTGAGGTCTATGGAGCTCTCAAATAGTTTTTCCTTAATTAAGGCTCGACTCCCTTCTCTGGAGCTCTTGAACAAAGTACACCCTTTGTTCGATACTTGCATCACATTTGTCTACACCTTCGAAGCTCTCAACTTCTTTGTTTGACATTTGAGGATTTTATTGACATGGGTAAGTTAAGGGTATGATTCTGATACCATGTTAGGAACCACGATTCTCCACAATGGTATAATATTGTCCACTTTGAGCATAAGCTCTCATGGCCTTGCTTTTGGTTTCCCCGGAAGGCCTCATACCAATAAAGATGTATTCCTTACTTATAAACCCATGAGCATCCCCTTAATTAGCCAACATGGGACTCCCTCCCAATAATCCTCAACATTTACATTTATAACTCAAGATATATGATCGGTGCCTAGCTTTCTAACACTCGAGCACATAACCTGATGCCTTAAGTGCAGTCCTGTCGTTCATCGTAAAATTACTAAACCTGTACCAATCCTCAGGGGTAATACCAATTCATTTCTCCAGAAACTCATGTAATTAACAGTGTAGTGCAGATCTATATCCTGCATGATCATGTGGGCGGAAGTCTATGATTAACAAAAGCAATCATATAAAACGATCAATATGAACAGATAGACAAAGTGAAGAAAATCCCTTCAGTTGACAATTGCCTTTAGAATGATCAAAAGCATTTTTGGGTACCCAAATGAACCTCCTACTCAAGATCTTCATGAGATTAACATAAAAGTGCTTTGAAAAACATCAAAAGTACCTTATGGTAATGCAAATTTGTTGTGGGATCTTATTTGTAATGAAGTTCTTCAGGTTGGATAACCGATTAAGAACATACATCTTTACAACTACTGGAATAAACAAATCGGCACTCGCATGAGGAATTCTCTAATTCAAATTGTTCAAGCAATTGAAAGGATAGGAACTAAAATCCAAGGCGTGATCCGACAAATCAATCGTGTAGTTGCATAAACATTTTCCAGATGTTTCAGAACAAAGAAACCTAACAACAAATCAATCGAATTCCGGCACAGAACAGAAAGGCGCAAGCGGAGAAAAAAAGAGAAGAAAAATTCAAGCGAATAAAACAGAGATTTAAACAATAGGAAGGAGATTACCTCCAATAGCGATGTAAGGGATGCGATGTTGGCCGGAAATATAAACGGCGTCAGAGAGAATCCCGTAGAGAGGCTTGGCGACCATGGGAAGATTGGCGGAATTCTGAAGAAGCTGGAGAGTAGAAGGGTCGACATTGAGACCGTCCTTGAGGAAGAAGTTAACCGCCATCCATGGAAAGCACCGGAAACCCTGAACCCAATACCCCAATCCGAGAACCTTCCGGATCGGATTATCACCATTCGATTTCACCATCGTAGAGAGTGAGGAACTTCGGAAATTGAAGGAGTATAGGCAGAATTTTGAGAGATGGGAGCTTGCCGCGACGGTGAGGGAGGCGGAGGCGGTGGAGACGGCGGTGGTGGAGCTCTAGTATTTGATTTTTTTTTGGAAGTAATGGCAGTTGTATGGACACAGGTGGTGGTTTTTACTGTTGACTTCTTTTAAACAATAAAAAAAACACTAATTTATTTATAATTTTAATTTTAATTTTGTAATAATCTAATTCGTACTAATTTAGTGTTTATATTTTTAATTTGTAAGGATTCGGTCGTTATACCCATTATTATTAAAATTTAATAAATTTTTTCTATAATGAAAAACAGTACAATATTTATGTTGAAATGGAGTATATTCTTGGAGTCAAAAATATTCATAATGTCTTTTAATTTATTATTTTTTTTTTTTTTATTTTTTACTTTTTGTATCTATCCATCCTTTTATAATGATTATTAACTTACCTTGCAAAAACTAAGGTAAATCAGAGAAAAAACATTTTGAATTTATTCTATGACTTCAAAGTATATAATATTTAAGAAAAATATTAAAATTATCAATAATCATTTATATTTGTATCAAAATCTTTCTAAGCTTTTCCTATATAAAAAAAACGAAAAAAAGACTTTGGTTTATCTTTTTCTCATAGCCTCGACGTCACGTGACATGTTGACTCAATTATTATTAGAAAAAGAAATTAGTAATGGGTGAGTATGTATATGGTCCGGGTTGGGTCGGATTGGAGATTTTTTTGACCCAACCCAAAAGTTCAGGTTGGTTGGATTGGTAACCCAACCCAACCCAAACCCTCTATTTTCAGGTTGGGTCGGGTTGTCAAAATTTTTTTTAAAGTTTTATTTACCTACAATTTATAATTATTCGGATGATAAAATATATTAAAAGTTGACAAACAAACACAAATCAATCTATAATTATTGAAAAAATAAATAAAAAACAAACAAATTCAATAAAAAAATGGTAATATATTAACATAGTTCAACGTTGTATAAAACTGAAGACTACTAAATTGTAATATGCTTATACTTATTTAAAAGGAAACAATATCTTAAACTATTAGAAAAATAAAAATATATATAAATTATGATACAATAATGTTCATAAATACATTAAAATTTAAAATATACTTTAAATTATATATTATAATATTTATATATATAATTTAGAAAGGTATAAATCATAATTAATAATTAATAGAATTTTGTATTATATAATAAACAATATATTTAAATATAATATTTAAAAATAGTATAAAATATATAAATAATTATTAAAAATTAAAAATAATAAAATAATAAAATAATATAAACGGGAGAACTCAATACCACCTAGCAAATTAATTTGAAATTTTTTTAATATATTTTGTATATTTTTATTTGACTCGGGTCAACTTAAAAGTTTTGCTCATGAATCCGAAATCAAACTGATTCAATTTGGGTTAAGAAAAATGAACCGAACCCTACCCAAAATGATAATCCATCCCAACTCAACCCTTATGGTTCGGGTTGGGTTGGTCCGGATTGTCGGGTTGAATGTACACTCCTACCGGAACTAGCTCCATTTATAGGTCTACCGTTACTTAAAAAATGATATGGGCTCTTGATACTTAGTACTCATTTGGCTCTAAATGTCCATACATGCTCATCTTGGTGTACAATACATGAGGTTAGCATAAAATGGTAGGGATCAAACAAAATATTTAGGAGACCAAATTAATATTATTAGAAAACCAAATTTAAACTTTTGAAATCATAAAAGGATTAAATTTAAAATAAATTAAAAAAAAAAAAAAAGCTTAGTCTTCGTATCAAATAGTTCTAGATTATAAAAAAAAAAAAACACACAGTTTCATATCAAATAGTTAAGCATACACAAGGCACTAATGTATTTCAACTCCACAAACCCTCTGCCACCATCGCAAGCCATACAAGCTTAGATACCATCTAAAAAGAAAAGAGTAAAGAGTAGCGTGAACGAGTTTAAAAACCACTTATCAATTAGCTCACTTGTAGGTTCTCAATTATCCACGCATAGAGAGATTATAGACTAGATTCTCTCTTAGGCCATCCGCACTAATGTGGTTAAGACCTAGTATGCTCTAGTTTCATTTCAAGTTCAAAAAATCTATCTCATCTGAGCCTATCTCAATCATTTATGAATCTTGTCTTCACTACTAGGGATTAGTTCTTAAACTTTAGTAGTCCCTATTTACAATAATCATAACCAGAGTGACTCTCATTCTATTAACTACTAATGATATTATCTGAATGGGTCAATAAAAATAGGTTCACACTGATGTAATAATTGGAAACTCTAACAATCCTCACATAATGACTCGATAACATTGTATATCATATGCATCTAGAGCACAACCATGTATCTACCAACTACTCTAATACAAGTATGGACCTTGTCAACGAGATAGATAATTACAAAAGTTTGCTCGCAACCCTCTAATAGTCTCATTGTATAACCATAAAGGAAGTGCCCTCGTGTCTTGACCAGCTTCTAAAATACAATGTGAACATTTGTCTATCAATTTATATAAGCACAACTATATTTATTGCATAAGTTAACAATGTATAAATCGTACCCAAAATATACAAATCTAAATTTTTATGATCATTCTTTCATACAATTCAAACATAGATTATACAAACTCAACTTACCTTCTCAATTCTAGATTTCATACACTTAGCTTAGTAAACTCAAACTCAAGCGAAACAATCACTTCTGGAACCTAATTAAGAAGTGTTTGTTGGACGTTGAATAAGAACATTTCAAAACAACTCAATTGAGAGGCACAAAATGCAAGAACAAAGAACACGGTGGAAAAAGAACTTTCAAGGAATAGAACAAGAAGGAATCTAGTCAGATTTAGAGATGTTAAGAAGTGTTTGTTGGACGTTGAGTAAGAACATTTCAAAACTACTCAGTTGAGAGACACAAAATGCAAGAACAAAGAACACGGTGGAAAAAGAACTTTCAAGGAATAGAACAAGAAGGAATCTAGTCAGATTTAGAGATGTTAAGAAGTGTTTTGTTGGACGTTGAATAAGAACATTTCAAAACTACTCAATTGAGAGACACAAAATGTAAGAACAAAGAAGACGGTGAAAAAAGAACTTTCAAGGAATAGAACCAGAAGAAATCTATGAGCATAAGAGTCATACAAAGTCCCTATGAATTCCATTCCAAAGTTAAAAGAAGTGTGCAAAACAGCTGTCTGATATATTCCAAACTCGTGTAACCCACAAATACCATAAAGCTAAAGCCAAGTGATCATATCAATACTCTATATTCCCACGTTAACATATAAATGAACTTTCAGAAGAAAATGGACAGCCAGTAAGATCAAATTCCTCTATACATTTTTCACTTTGCGCATCATTGTCTAACACATGGATCTTTGGACTGATTGTACTACATTTGCACCTACACAACATCATGGACCTCATATAAGATAGATTACTAACCCATAATGAAATAAATCGATGAAACCGAACTAAACCGAACCAAATATATCGATTGGTTTGAAGGGTATTTATTTTTATTGGTTCTTCTAAATTTTCTAAGGATGTATTCATATCCACTTTGCCTGTTAAGGTAACAACAAACCTAGAAGCAAAAAGAGGTAAAAAATCAAAAGAGCTGAAAATGATGTTTGTCTTGATTATTGATGTAAAGGAAATGGCAACCTTACTTGAACAGCTTCTATTCTATAGGTTGTACAATGTCATGCCTGGGTTCTAAAATGGAAATGATCAAAACTTTAACTGAAGATACAACAGTGTTTTCTTATCATAAATATTTCCTTTTGTACATCTAACTGAAATTTATTGCTTTTTTAGTTAGAAGCAAAAGTACATGAATAGACTCGAACCAAAACAAAACGGGATAGAAGAATGGGGAAAAAACCTCCTATTATAGCAAATACTTCTCGACAACAGTCCGCCCGAACTTTTCTTGAATATCCTTTGGAGTCTCGATCTGGAAAATATAATGGACAAAAAATGTAAGTATACAAATCTTATGTGGGATTGGAAGATATTAGCCATGTAAACTCAATGGCTACTTACTGCATTCAGAGCTTTGAAGAGGGCCTTCAGAGTGTTGTGGGGGTTCCTTGAGCCAACAACCTATTATTTGAACTCAAGTTAGAGGTGGGGAAGGAGCAAAGCATAATCTATTAACCTCCATAATAAAGGACAGGTATAAATTACCTTAGATTTGATATTTTTAAAACCAGCCAGATTCAAAACAGTTTGAACAGTTTTCCCTGCTTTCATGCCTGTCGTAGTTGATGCTGGCCAAAGATATACCTTAACAAACAGAAAGAAACCAAGATATACCTTAACAAACAGAAAGAAACCATAAGTTTCTATCAAATGAACCCTATACGAATTTTTTTTTTTTTTTTCGTTTTTTATTTAGTTATTTATTTATTTATTTTATTTTAATCGACAAGATACGGATCGTCCAGAACTAGAACAAGAAACAGTTTTAGTCAAGCAACCCTGTGTGTGTTGAGGGGGCAACACATTGGCTTCCTCCACTGCAGTATTTCATCTCTTTGGTGTTTTCCAGGTTCAGGGCCCCTCAATCCGAGATAATAGGGCGAGTGAACTATTAATGCAGGGAAAAGAAAATTAGAAATGGTTGAGTACCTTTGTTTTTTTGTATTCCGTCTGTATTGCATGTGCAATTGTGTGTTCCTCATGGCGTTCCACATAATGAAGATTTTGGAAACATTTCTCATATGCCTGCTTAAAAGCATCAAATTAATCTACACAATAATAATGTAAACTGAAAAACTATAAAGTCCAATGCACATTGGGACACCACCAAGGTTCTTAAAACATATTTGTTAACTAGAAATATACTCGTTCTGAAGGATTAATTTTCATATCTAAGAATTACAATATTAAAAAAAAAAAAACTTGCAAGCAAAAGATTAAGCCTTCATATAATATGCAATTTTAAACCAGAAAAAAGAAAGTTGATCCATTTAATTTTGGTCAACTTATAACTACCTTTTACCTGAGGATAGTTAATCTATTCTGGAAAGTGCCAAAGACCATTTGGATAACAAAGCAAAAGATCATTTGAGATGTTCTTTAACACCGCTGAGAGAACCTAGACTAGATTTTTACCAAAACTTGGAGATCGAAAAAGAGGTAAACAGAGGTTTTCCCCTGTGCAAAAAACATAGATAGTTAAAGGGAAGTAAACTTGCCTTGCACACCCAGATAGAACAATTATCTCCAACTCAAAGCTGATCTGTGGATTCCAATAGCCACAAATTTCTCTAGGTTTACTTTTAAGACCCAAGAAGTTTTCAAAAAATTTCTAGCTTTCCTTTCAGCAAGAGTTTAGAAGATGTGGGGGGCATCTACAAATTAGAGGCGAGTGACATGTGTGTCATCTTTCTAATCTTAAACAATTCTACAAGCCAATCTTCCTAACCTATATCAAGAAGAAGACTAAGACAATCGACCACAATTAAGGAAGGTGGGTAAGGAACATTCAACTTGCACAACAAAGGACTTGAAAGTACTATGCTCAGTAGGGAGAAATTGAATGACATTAGAAATACATCAAAACTAATATTCAACGAGTTGTAAGATGAAATGTAATTAGTTATTACTATGAAAATGTAACAATAAATAGGAACAAGACCCAGTTCTTAAATTCCAACATGCATGTCAAAATCAACTTTTTTTTATTTGAAAAAAAAACTGATGAGTCTAAAATGGAATAGAACAATTCACAAGGCTGTAGGGCAACTATGAGTTAACCTCAAAACATAGTTCACCATCACATAGCATAAATTTCAGAATTAAAATATAACATTTAGATCATCTTTAAAACGAGTCTCACAAGTCTTGAATAGTTGAAAAGGACTAGACAACCAACCGAATTGTAGGGCAATTAGGATCAGTCTTCAAAGCATAGCTCACAGTAACAAATAATATAACATAATCAAGTCAAACGGCAAGGATACAAGGACTTTTGTTAAAACTATTTACTTTAAAGTACATTGGTCAATCTACACAATAACTCAATTTGTGATACTTAATATTACCAATTAAGTGAAATAGTAAAGTAAACATTTATGAATAAAATTCAATGTCTCTCACATTGACATCGTGACATATTCAATTTCTATCTCATTTACATAGATCCATCCACGTGATTCCATCCATTGACAATTGGATTTCAATTAAAACCTAGCTAAATATTTTCAAAGCAAGTCAATCAACACACTCAGAATATACCTTAAACGATTAGATTTCCTATCTGTATTATTCTCTAACTCGAACTTCAAGCATTTTATCAGTTCTTAAATTTTCAGTAAAACTAAATGAGAACGTATTAACGGAGTCTACTGAATAGCACAAACAACATGCCTTTTGTAAAGCAATCGGTACTGCAGGTCCTTTGGCTTTCGCATAACCAACAATGCCATGATAGTTCCCACAAGCCAAGAGAGCAGTGTATTTGATAACTTGTCCACCCTAGATCATACAAAGCTTACAATCATCAAATACGTATTATTTCAATACCAAGTGTAAATGGGTGATTGCATACCTTAGTAACTTTACAAGTTCTGTTCACATCAATTAATTTCACATCAAAGCCCTGACATAAATTTGTAACAAATGAAGTTAATATCTTCTATTGAAAAAATGTAAAACATTTCATAAACTATAATATAAAAGAAGTTAATACCCATCGAAATCTCTTTTCAAGTAAATGACAATGAAAAATAAAAATATGAATTTCACCAACATTGCAGACTATCCAAATGCATCATATTTGACCTATGTATATATGCATATTATAAGAGAGGAGAAAAGATATCTGTGTTAAAATATCTCCAAAAAATCTAGAACAATATTACTTTCAAGAATAATTGATCGCTCCCTCCCACCAATGAAAGGATACTTCGCATGAGTCTCAATGAAACCAATTATAACACTGTTAGCAAAAGCTCTAATCACGAATAATGAGAGCTTTTTTTCTTGTATTTTCGAAAACATGGTAAACGAACATAGTCAGAAAGAATGCTTCAGGCTTCAAATCAGAAACACAGAAGCTCTGTTTAGAATTATATTCACAAATACTTCTCTTTAAACTAAGCAAAAAAGTATGTACCACATAAAGATGTAGGGAAACAAACAGAAACTTATGCCTAATCTCTAACTATTTTGTCATAGACCTTCAAATACTGGTGCACGACAGTGAAATTAAATCATAAAGAAGAAATTTAGCAACTAATGAATCCACAAATTTAGCTGAGAACTATCAACTGCTTAAAAAGACAGAAAACGACGATGTAAAAGGCATAGACAGGATAATGGAGTAACATACTTTTCGATAAAGAGGCCTTCTTTTCTTCTCAGTTAAAGAATTTCTCTCCTCTGCAAGATCTCGGATTTCTTCTTCTAGAACCTTTCCTTTCTTTCCAAAGGTATGATCCAGCTCTGCTAGCTTCTCTTCAAGCTTCTTATCTATAGCATTAAGCTTCTCCAGTAGTATATCATCCCTTTCTTTCATGTCATCAAACTCTTCCTCATCATCGTCATCAACCCCTTGTATGATTTGCTTCTCTTTTTCAAATCCTGATTGCTCCATGAGATCAACCGATGGACCTACCTGTTCGTGTTGAATGACTCCATAGTTGGCAGGACAATTTGGGTCATAAGCTTCCTTCCACTCCACTAATCTCATAGCCCTATTTAACTTTTGCTGAAGAATGAATTTTTCCTTGCCCTCTGCTACTTTCAAGCGATTCATTAATTCACCAATCACTCGGTATTCAGGACGAAGCCAGAAGTGCTTTTGCTCAAACTTGTCGATTTTACTCATCCATTTGAAAGCATCCTCGATGTTGTCTGTCAAAAACATGTTGCAGATGCAGGAAGATTTTAACACAAGCCCAAAAAGTTACAAAAACTACAAATCTGGTTCAATAAATTCTCTTTTGGGTAAGAAACAGAAGTCATCTTCCCATGTTAAGATGGAATAATGGTATAACTTAATAAACTGCTGAAATCTAGCAGCATTCTGCTGAACGTTATAAAAATTTGAACCCACATGCTATTGCAACAAGTACCAAAGAACGACATAAAAAAAAGCTTGAACCATTGTGCATTCCCAAAATCCAAACCATGTACGAAATGGAGACATTATCCAAAACAAATTGTCATACCTGTCTCAGTGAAGTTCTTGAGCAACTCCTCATGCCTCTTGAATTTCCTCTCAAACTCATCAACCCTCTTTTTGAGGGATTCAGAACTGAACCTCTCGTCTTCTTCATCACTATCAGAATCAGAGGGCTCTTCATAGGCGTTCAAATTCCCAGTATCCTTTAACTTTTCCTTCTCGAGCTTCTCTATCAATGGCCCAACACCCATATAATCCTCCCTATCTTCATCGTCAATATCCTTGGTATCAAGACCAGCCCTTCTCCTCTGCTCCCTTTCTCTCTGCTTCTCCTTCTCCACCTCAGCAAGAAGATCTTGCACAACTCTAGCTGAAGCAGTAGAGTAACAACGCGCCGCCAAAGTCTTCGGTATTTCCTCAAACGGAAAGCGTGCGAAACTGGAGATTTTCCGGGAAATATGAATTGGGGTTTGGATGGGGTTTCGCTGCACGACCTGGTTGAGAATCAGACGCGACCAAGAAAATGCTTGCGATTTGTTCACCATTTCTTCGAATCCAAAACTTCAATCACACATCAACACGGGTTCTTCAAATTCATAAAACGTACAGATCATTCAATTCAATCATACAATCTTTTCCCAAGAACGACATTGCATTGTTAGTACGGTGGAGTGAGATTGCAGTAGAGAGAAACGGAGATAAGACGAGAAGAAAAGAAAGCGGCGGCGGAACGTGCCGGCGACCGGAAAGAAGCCAGAGACGGGGTTTGTGTAAGAGCTACTGTAATGCAGGGAGTGTAGGGTTTACATTTTTGTTCCCCTCTTTTTAAGAAAATAAGAATTTTGCTAATAATTAAATTTTTTTTAGTACAATAATTTAAATCATTTCTCATAGTTTAAAATTTGTAAATAAGTAAACATTTAATTTAATAATTTTTTAAAATATCCTAAAATCTTCTAAACTATTCTTTAATATTCTTATACTTTTTTTAAAAAAAATTAAAAAGATATTAATAAATGAACCGAAATTATTTACCTACACTTAAAACGGTAAAATCTAAATCGATAAATTTTGTAACCTTTTTCAACAAAGATTTGAAGTCCATTTTGTAAGTTTCTTTCGGTCAGTCTATTGTTTTTTAGAACCTTGTTGCTATTGAGGTACTAAGAGCACTTTTCGAGTAAGTTTTGACCCAATAGTTATGCACTCGATTTAGAAATCTTACTTTGAATTTGTTTTAGGAGGTGCATCGACTAATCTTAAGTGATACTTGGTCTTATAGGATTGATTCACGTAGTCGTTAGTACAACTTTGGAATAGTTTTGTTGTATATTTTTTTAGAACATATTTCATGAGGTATTGTGATAGAAGAGATTTAGTATCATGGTTTATGCTTGTACAAAGTGAATTGTTTGTGGTCGTGTGTCGGATGTTCCGATCATGATTGTTTATGGCATGTTAGTAAGGGTTTTACTATTCGTATCATGTTGATATAGGGGTATATAACCGTTCACCAAAATCATGTTCACACCTGCTATGGCTAAAATGCCCCAAAATATACTATAAGGGATGCGATTAGTTGTCAATTCAAAAGCATGATGGTCGTTTTTAACATATAACATTTGTTTTTCAAATTGTTTTCCGCTCATTTTCTCTAATAACCAAAACCGAACTCTTTCATTAAAGATAAATTAGGGACACGGACCTAATTTAATCAAGTAAGTCATCTTACTGTTAGAGTTAGATAATTGAATGATGTATGATGGTGCATGCCTCGTGCCCTTTGCATGCACCGTATTATTTTATGCTATGTTTATGTATTCTATGTAATGACGTATGATGTTATACTATGTATGCATGTGATATCCATTACACTCATGTTGTGAATGAAATGAAATGTTATGTCTTGCCATGTAAAGCTATGTAATGGATTATGTGATGAATGTCATGTATACATGATGCATATAAGTAATATGTCATGAATGAAAGAAGAAAGGGAATGATGTTAATGTTACGTTTATGAATATAAATCAGGGGCCTCATGCATGTATGTATGTCATGTGCATTGAGATTCTTCTCTACATGTTATGTTAGTATGAATGTGTACCTTTGATATTTATGCTCGTCATGATATCATGTGAGCCTTTTCTTTTCTGTGGCATCCTACGACGTGTTAACACATTGTGCCCGACCAAGCCAGGGGCAAGGGGTATGTATATGAGTCCACCTAGTGGGTCCATGCGTGCGAGAATGAGCCGTGTGTGGGCAAGAACTACACATCCAACCCTGCCTGGAACTGGAAAGAGTCGAAGTTCATGTTACGATTTTAAAGGATAGGTCTCATCATTATATATGTGTTATTCCGTTACTAACTTCAATTGTGAGGTGACTCGCTAAATATTTTTTAAGTTATATGTAAAGTACTTTTGTATGGATGACGATGAATGTGGAATGTCCATGGAAGTCAAGATAGGGCAGTAGTATGCATTCCAGGTGTATGTGATAGCGAACTTCAATATTCTAGTCTAGAAAATCAGATCGTTGCATATCGTTTCTTTTTATTTATTTTGGTACAACCTTCGATCGTTTCTACAATACACGAAAGTGACTTTCGTATCCATATAAACCTTACCTCCCACGACACTAACCTAGCACTACTTAATCTCATAAACCTCCATTAATATTTAACCCTTCTTTATTTTCTCCAAAATTCGTAATGTGATGTCCCACGTTGGTTGGAGAGGAGAACAAAACACCATTTATAAGGGTGTAGAAACCTTCCCCTAGCAGACGCGTTTTAAATCTGAGGAGAAGCTCGAAAGGGAAAGTCCAAAGAGGACAATATCTACTAGCAGTGGATCTGGGCCGTTACAAATGGTATCAAAGCCAGACATTGGATGATGTGCCAGCTTTCTCGTTCTTCCCCGAAGGGGGGTAGACACGAGGCGGTGTGCCAGTAAGAATGCTGGCCCCGAGGGGGTTAAATTCAGTGGCGGTCCCACATCAATTGGAGGAAGAAAAGAGTGCCAACGAGGATGTTGGGCCCCGAAAAGGGGTGGATTGTGATGTCCAAACGCAGTTTAAAAGAGTGTAGAAACCTTCCCCTAACAAAGTGCGAAGGAAAACCCAAAGAAGACAATATCAACCACATTAATTAGTTTCTCTTTTAAATAAATTATATCGTACAATCTTTTTCAATTTTTTATTTTCTTTGATCTATAAATAATAAAGACATTCTAGAAAAAAGAAAATAATATATATATATATATATATAGAAATGCAAGAAAATATAATATTTAGCAAGATAAGTCGTGTGGGTACGCAAATATTACAATTTTATAATTGAAGGACCACATTATATATTTAATTATTATAACGATATTGAATTTATTTATGGTCCCAAAATAATTAATATTTATTTTAAGATGAATTAAAAATTGATAAAAGTCAGGAAAACTTTTATTTAAGATTATTTATATTGAATTTGTGATGAATCATTTAGTTTTTGATCCCCACTAAAATTTAAAAACAAAAAAGAAGAATGGATTATGAATATCCATCACATTCGTATCCAAAAAAATGACCAAAGGTTCATACAACTTAATGCTTAATTTATTTTTATTATTAACATATCTATCTAATGGGTACGGATAATCCTTTAATTAATTAGAAATACTATATATTTTTATTTTTAAACAGATAATTATATTATATATATTTATTTTTTTTTTTTTACAAAAATTTGAAATTTGTTCCATTGAAATTTTCAGCTAAAATCTTTATAATTTGTACATATTTCAATTGGGTTTTATAATTTTAAACTTTTAAAATTAAATTGCGTGAATTTTAAGATGTTTATTGGATTTATAAATTTAATTTATAATAAATCCCTAAATTAAGAAAATAAAACGTATATAACTCCCAATTTTATGTTTATTTTTTAATTCACCATTTAAATTTTTTTTAAAAAAAAAAATTTATAGTCTTAAGCATACAATAATTTTAGTTTTAAATAATAGGATAATTTTAACGATTTTAAGTAGGTAAAAAACCTACTAGTAGGACATTCATATGACTCGAAAACTGGACAAACCATACTACCTAACACATCATAAAAATTGAGTTCGGGTAGATTCTTTTTTACATTTTGGGTTGGGTTGAATTTTTGAAAAACTGAAAATTCAAAACAGAGCAGCGTTCAAATCCTAGATTACTTGATTATTACAAAGATTAAGAATACTAATATTCGTAAATAAGGTTGATGGCCGGAATGTTTGATTTTATTAATTAATATTTGAATAAGTAAGAATTTTCTAAATAATTAAAAAAAATTGCTTGAAAAAATATATTTTTTTTTTTAAACAAAAATTTGAAAGCTCTTTTTTAAAATATTTAAGGTATATATATATATATATATTGTTTTAGAAAATGTATTTATTTATAGAATATTAGAACAAGTAACTCTTAATAATTATCTAACTTTAATAATAAACTCATAAAAACTTGACTATTTAAGGCAAGCTAAGCATTCTTCACTTATGCATGAATGTAGACCGTCTTCTTCGTCTACAAAGTTCTTCTTCTGCGCTTCTGCTTCTGTAAGTTCAAAATGGAAATTACATGGCTTCCAGTTCTCACCATAACCATCATCTTCATCATCACCATCTTGAAACTCATCCGCCATGGCCGCTCCTTCCCAAACCTTCCACCAGGCCCAACCCCTCTCCCGTTTCTGGGCAACATCATCCTACTCCGCAAATACTCTTCATCGTTCTACGCACTCATCCACGACCTCCATGTCCACTACGGCCCCATCTTCACCTTCCACTTCGGCTCTCGTCGTGTCATCTTCATCGCCGGCCACTCCCTCGCCCACCAAGCTCTCGCTCACCACGGCGCTGCCATCGCCGACCGTCCCCCTGCCTCCATCACTAACAAGATCCTCTACAGTAACCACATCACCATCTTCACTGCCTTTCACGGCCCTAACTGGAGTCTCCTCCGCCGTAATCTCATCTCCGAAACCTTCCACCCTTCTCACCTCAGACTCCTTTCCGATGCCCGCCGCTGGAGCCTAAACTCGCTCGTCTCCCGCCTGAAATCGCACTCCCAGGGCGGCGCTGCTGCTGTTCGTCTTGTCGACCATATCCGGCTGACTTTGGTAGAGATATCGGTGTTCATGTGCTTTGGATTGAAGCTCGAAGAGGAGCGAATCAAAGCCTTAGCCGAGCTCCTCCATCAAGTTCTGTTGCATTCCAGTAGGCAAAACAAACTGAATCAGTATCCATTGAAATTGGGGAAAATCCTGTACCCTAATCTCTGGAAGGAAATCTCAACGATCCGAAACAAAATGGAAACCGCAATAATTCCTTTAATTAAAGCCAGATTGGACGAAAGACAACGCGAAATCGAACAAAGGAACAACGAATTAGAATCAGAATCAGAAACAGAAACAGAAACAGAACGCGTTTTGCCCTATCTCGACACATTGCTAAACCTACACCTCCCGGAAGAGAATCGGAAGATGGAAGAAGGTGAAATCATCAGCCTATGTGCAGAATTTCTCAACGGAATCGTCCATACTACACTAATGGTTATGCAATGGGCGATGGCGAACATCGTCAAATATCCAGAAATCCAAGAGAAGGTATATACAGAGATTAATCAAGCGATGGATCAATCATCATCGAAAGAACAGGTAACAGAGGAGGACATAAAGAAGATGCCGTACCTGAAGGCGGTGATAATGGAGACTCTGAGGCGGCATCCGCCGGGGTATTTGTCTCTGCCACACTTAGCGATGAAGGAGGTAGTGTTGGACGGGAAGTT